TTGATGAGTCTCAAGTCACACATTAGTAACTGCTTTTCTCATTATTTACTTGGGAAGAGAACGGATTCAGTCACAACTTACCTATGCCGACTGTTGATGACAGCTGTGAGTGGCTGTAAACTGCCAACCGCAGGCTGCTTGGGTTGTCCTACAGTGTAACTGGGGAGGTTTTTAAGTGCTCTCTCCTATTCATACTCCTTGCTGTGACAATAACATGGGCAACACTGCAGCTTGTCTCCCAAGTAAGACAAATAATGACTTTCTCTTCTCTCAGGACACCTAGTTTAGTGAACTCTGAGGCATTGTAAGATCTCTCTGATATTTCTGCCGCTGTGTCAAACAGGGCTGTACAAAAATATGATCAGCGTCTTTCACAATTATTATTGCTCCATGTGGTCACGTATGCCTCCTTTCCTTAGGAAGTCAAAGAAAACAATTAGACCTCCAGCAGATGGAACAGCCACGATGCAGTACTCTGCTTGTACGCAAGGAACGGACGAACTGAAGGGAAATAAGTGCCAATTTACTTGCTTTTGAAATAAGAGTTGAACTTTTGGAAGTCAGGAGAAGGAGATGAGCAGCTCTGAAAATATGGTAAAAGCATGAGTTGGGCAGATTTGGGCAGATTAAGGAAGTTGTTTTTTTTTTTTCAATGATCATTCCCAAATCTGTAGTTGAACTCCATACTCTCTTCTCCCACCTACTGGAAAGCGGTCGCACAAACGGTGTAGAATAGCTCTCAAAGTTTCTTGGTATCGAACACGAAAGGTAAGATCCCAACAGAAGCGTTCTTGCCACATTTTGGTTAAAAAGTGATTAATCCGTGATGTAATATATATATATGAGACATAGCAGGTTCTCATCTAGCAGAAGTAACTTATAGGTCTAATTTAGATACACGATATCCATTTTTATAAGGTCATAAATAATTATTGTTCGTGTGTTTCCCGCTTGCCTTGTTCCTAACCTTTCACGTTTGTGGCAATAGTTGTCTACATGCTAGACATTTTAAAATACTGGCACAGAGATTGATGACTTTATTTACACTTTACTGTAAGTATGATTTTTGTCACTTCTCGGTAGCAAAGGAATCCACGCTGTCTGTAATGAAAGCTAATTCTGCTCATCTGGTCCTCTCATTAAAACTACCAAAGCATTGCAATTCTGATTTGAGAAACAAATTAAGACACAGATCTTTTTGTCACATCTGAGCAGAAAGACTTGCAGGTCTACATGGAGACCCCTTGGAGTCAATGGTGTTTTATGCAGGTATGAGGGTTCCTCTGTGAAGGCCCAGCAGCACTAAATTTTATCTGTCTCCTTTCAGCAAACTTGTGTGCAGCTTGGCTTGATGAAAGAACTCCTGTATGTCAAAAAGGCGAGTTAAAACTGTGTAGGTATAGCAAAGAACAAAACGAAGGTTCAAACTGCTGTTTAGAGCTTCAAATGAAGACTTCTGCACTTCAATTTTGGTTCTGTCCCAGGTTCACAAGATCACCTGAATCAAGTACTTAATTCTTCCAAGGCTTCTTGTTTCATCTGCAAATGGTACAGGAGACTCTGGCAGATTTATCCTGCCCATACTTTGGCCCTGAAGTAGACTGCTGCTGCCAGGTTCCCTTTTGTTTGTTTGTCCAGTTTGTTTTCCTCTGTATGGCTTTTTATACTTTGGTTTCATGACTGGCTGCAGTACGTGGAAAAATTTGTAGTGAGATCCTTGTGTGAGGTCTGTCTGAAAAACGCCACAACTGAAACAGGACATCTCTTTCCGTGTCCTGTGAAGTGAGCAAAAAGTTGTTTTCACAATGGGAGGTTCTCATTTGAAACCTTGTGATAAAAGGGAGAACCACTGAAGTCGCCTTGTATGCCCTGAACTTGGGCTGTGGTTTCAGCGAAGCGTACTGGGAACGCTAACGCCTGGCGAGTTACCCCTGCCGTTGGTCTGTGAGACATGTCCTCATCATCCCTAACCTGCTCCCTTGTCTGAGCATATTTCTGTAAAGATTGAGAGGCATTCAACTGAAATCGGTGTAAATCACCTGAATGCAACGCCTTAAGCTGCATCTCAAATTTACCATCTATCTGTGGAATCACATTATGGTGTAAAACTGGTGTTTGAGCGAGTTAGAGGACTATTACAGTTTAATTAAATTAAGATATTTTTTCTGGCATGGAGCTCTTGGCCGTCACTGCCATCTGACCACACAGAAGCTTAGTGTGCTTAAGTGGCTGTGTTTGTCAGCTAGAACACCAAGATGAAAGCACCAGGGTGAGGACTGAGTGATCTGGATTCTCTTTCCAGCCTTTCCACAAGCTTCCCCTGTGATTTACAACTTACCAGGAACATGGTGCCAAATGAGCTCTTCCAGCTGCAGCTTTTTTAGCCTTAACATGTTATAGCTGCTGGTTCTTCTTCATATCCGCTGGTGGAAATGACCTGAAGGACGAGGTTACAGCCCTGTCAGATCTGCTGGTGTCTTTCCAGCTGTACCTGTTTCCTATCCTTCTTCTACTTTCAGAGCGAGGTGGTGAGCAGCTAGGCATAGACCTTTCTTCTGGCATTGACACGCTCAGGTCCATGTGATTTCTCTGCTTAGGACATGAAAGTTTGAGATAAAACCAGAATCTCAGTGGGGGGAATGTGAAAGAAGCTGTACGTTGTATTTATTTTTTTTCTCCGAGAGCAGTGGAGAAAACTGAAAATCTCTTGTGCGTGGGAGGGAGGGGAGATTTAAAAGAAGCCTTTAAAATGAAGTAGGATTTCTTAGAATTAACAGTGAAGCTGCTCACTGCCATGTTCTGAGCACTAACCTAACAAACGGTTGAAATCAAGTTGTTTTCCCCAAAGCTTAATGCTAGATGTTTCCAAACCATCTGCACTATCAATTCAGGCTTCACAGGCTGAACCACGGTTATCGACAATACCGTGCTGTATGAGAAATATATTGACTGTGATACCTCTTGCTCATAGCATGGCTTTTTCCCTCAAAATGTTTCATCTGTAACTGCACTGTATCAGTCTAGTGATGCTGTTTCTGAGCCAAGGTGGCAAAACCTTCGCTTTTGTAGTCAGCAGGAGCAAGGATTTGTATTTCTCTTAGTTCCCCTAGGTCAATGGTAAATAACATACTGGAGTAC